GGCACGACAGGGCGGACTTCAATGGGGGAAAGGAAGAGGAAGGCAGAGGGGACGGGAAAGAGGGGAGGGGAGGGGAAGAGGAAGAGAGCGGCTCTGCGGCCGAGGCCACGCCGCGCGAGGCGCGATTCTATTCGCGCCCCAGGGTTGACACAACATTTGCACCCCCAAGCGAAAAGGGCGGAGCAGAACGGGGGGCCGGCCTCCGAGAACCTTCCACACAAGGGGGACCGTGTGTGCCGGGAACCCTAAAGAATAATTTGGCTTTGCGCCGGGCGAGGGAGGGACGGAGGAATAGGGGCTGCGGGCGATAGGGGAGGAGCACGAGAACACCGAACAACACGGACAGGGACTGAACGGCGACAAACACCGTCAAAGATGCCGGAGGGAACAACTGAAAGAGGGAGGGGGCCGGGGGGGAAGGGCTGAGGAAAAGAGACTTAGAAGCTTGAACCGAACGGTCAACCCTTCTCCCATCCACCCTCCTCCCTCCTCTCTCCTCCGCCTCATCCTGCCTCCTGCCTCCTCCCTGCTCCCTCCTCCTCGCAAGGTGCCGAAAGGGGTCCGCCCCAGGCAACGGGCCAACACCACCTCGGACCTCCCAGAACACCTGACCTCCGTTTGCTTGAGGACGCCGCTGCAATCAATTCTGTCGGACCTCCGTGGGAGACGACTCCGCCGACCCATTTGTGAAATCGCAGACGTGTGACATCCGTCCCTCCACTGGACCCACGAGCACACGAGAAGGCCCAGGGAAAGCCCCCAAGACCGCCACATAAGCCCCCGAGACAACCGAAGAAAACTCCAAGACGAAAATAAAACGGTTCCGCCTTCATGAAAAGGTTACCCGACTGCACCCTTGGATGAGTCCCGGGGACGGACAAACACAACGCGAAATCCACGCGCACTAAGAAAATTAACCTCCCCGATTTCCCTGGGGTCGGCGGCAGAGGCGGCAGCCTTTAGATAATAAGTTTAAGACTGTTCGCCCGTATGTGCTCGAAAGTCCAATAACGCGTATTTCCCAAACCCTCGATACCCGCCCTCTTCGTCTTCGATCGAACCCCTTTTGGGGGGTATACCTTTCTTCCCTGCAGGTCGGGCCCCGGCAAGCGGCGGGGCAGCCGCGGACCGTCGGCCTGGCCAGCGGCAGCGCTGATCGGCGGGGCGGCCGCGGACCGTCGACCCGACCCCAAGAGGGACGGACAGGGGACCGACCACGACGACGACGACGACGACGACGACGACGTCGAAGACGACGGCGACGACGACGACGACGAGCGAAAGCGAGAGCGAGAGAGAACGACAGCAGGGCCACGAAGGGCACGAAGTAGGCCACGAAGGGCGACAGCGGGGACACGAAGGGAATGCGTATGGGGCCACGAAGAGCGCGAACGAGCGGGGGCAACGAAGTGCAGACAATGCGGGGCCACAGAAGGCAACTATGGGGCCACTGAGGGTAGCAACTGGGCCACGTAGGACAGTGAGGGGGACACAAATTGCGACAGCGGGGCCACGAAGGGCATGCACACGGGGCCACAACAGGCGCGACTCCTGGGTGCCTGGGTGTCGGGAGCGCGGCGCTTGGGCAAATGGCAAGAAATTCCAACGCAAGGCCATTCATCAGTAAGTTGCAAGCAAGTCTCCAGCGAGAGCGCGACTCCAGAGAGCGATTCCTGAATAAATTGTAAGGAAGTCCCAAGCGAGAGCGCGATGCCTGAATCAAATGCGAGGATGTCTCGGGCGGGAGCGGGGGTCCTGGCTAAATTGTAAAGAAGTCTCAGGCGGGAGCCCTTGTTATTGTAACCCGGGGGCCCCTGGCCCAGTTTGAGAATCAAGACTTCCCCTGTCAAAAAACAGGGTGCGAGCGTCGAGGGGCACACTTTGATTTAGAAAAAACAGTATGCACCGGTGGGGGAGATCAACAATAGTTATTCTTCAGAATTGAGAAATCAACAACAATTACAACACCAGCAACAACGACCACAACAACAGCAGCAGCAACAGCAGCACCGGCAGCCGCAACAACAACAACAACCATCAGTTTAAGACTGTTCACTCCGATCTGCCCGCGTGCCATTCAACACATATCATTCCAAACCCTTGGTGCCCGCCCTCTTCGTCTTCGATCGTACCCTCTTCGGGGCATATGATATGCCCCAAAGGTGGCTGGTGAGGAAGATATGCCGCATATCTTCCTCACCAGCCACCTGCATTTAGCGCAGCCCTTAAAACAGGGGAAGAGAGGACGGATGGAAGGGGGAGGGAGAAGGATGGAGTACAAGAGAGACATTGGCAGGAGGGGGGCTAGGAGCAAAAAACACGTGGCAGAACCAGAGGGGCAGATCGGGCGGGTAGACCCTAACGAGCGGGAGGGACGGCGGGGCCGGGCGGCCAGGTCGAGCAGGCGGGTTGCTGAAGCGTGAGTCCTGCATGAATCGCGAAAAAGTCTCTAGCGATTCCGCGATGCCCGAGTAGTCAATCGTAGAAAAGCCGAAGCGAG